AAAAAACAAATGTATGACAAGGCATTTCACACAATATTTATTTGTACAAACTGCTAGAAAACGGAGAGAGCGATCACAGAGTTCTCCAGAGGTTCACCTGCTTGAATCTGAGGCACACGTGTTTAAGTGCGTAACCTTTGTCTTTATGGTTCATACAGAATCAGTCCTTCTTACAATGCAATCCTTAAGAGCTACCGGCGTAAACTGTCAATGGATCAGCTAATGTTGCCATATGAAACAAACGATACCAGCGAGAAGAGATCCCAGTTGCTTAACTTCATAGATAAAATAAAGCACTATCTGGAGATTAGAATGCTTAGAATTAGGACAAAAAAACTAGAATAAGAGTTTTCACAATCAAATGTGAATTTTACCCTACTGTAAAATCTGAATCTAACTGGCCTGTTTTAAGTGCTATACTTAGCATGGAAAAATACCATATTTTTTAACTTGTAGAGCACCTTCTGAGCTTTTCCTTAACACCTTCTCAAGTAAAGCTACGTTAACATTTACATCCACATCTCAGGCATCATTTCAAATCGAGAACCTCCAGATAATGAATAGATAATGAACATTTCAAGGCATTACGGCACGTTAGTATTTACAGAATCTATTTGTGTGCGTGTGCAATGTGTTACAGTCTGTGGAAGTATGAAGGTTACTGAGGATAAGCTTCGATCACCATAGCATGACCCTGCAACACACATACAAGAGAGCATTATAAAAATATTTCCACGTAAGCATGTTTTATTGGTTCTGTCGTGTCACACACCTGTCCTCCAGCGGCACACGCTGCCACCAGGCCATACTGACCACCCTCCTTCTGCAGTCTGTGGGCGACGGTGGTCACCAGTCTACAGCCGGTGGCTGCAAACGGATGTCCAAGAGACAGAGAACCTCCCCATGTGTTAAACTTCTCCATCGGAGGGGCACCAACCTGAGAAAAAAGAGAAACAATGTGCAATGAACTTTCATTATTAAAGGAGACATATTATGCCCCTTTTTACAATATGTAATG